AGTAAACAAACATCTGTCCAGACTCTGTCAACATACAAACACAGAGTAAACAAACATGTGTCCAGAGCAGTGTTCATGTTCTCTCCCTGCCTGCTGTGGTGTGGATAAAAAGGAAGTGGTGGGGATTTCCACTCACTGAAGGCCCACTCGCATCCTGATCAAACAGAGCCGACAGGCCCTTCCGTCATTTACCGGAAGCTGGACATTTATGGACCGTTTCCCACAATAAGTCGAATTTAGCCACGCAGCTCAGCTGCTCCAGCAGAACTCCATGCAAGAGTCCAAATCAAGTGTGCATCCGGTTCAGGTGGAGGCAGAAAGCCGCAACGTTGGAGCTGAAACACCTGGCTCGTGAGTTCACCTCCTCGTGCCGCTTCACGCGTAAACACCTAACCTTTGACAGAAATAACGGAAGTTCCCCAGCAGCCACGCACGGCTCTCCCACTCGGGTTTTTGGAAGTGTGCGTGGGTTCAGCCCTACCTGCCTCCACCGTGTCGCTCAGGTCGTGCTTGGCAGCTGTCCGGGGAAACTCCTTCAGCTTTCGGCAGCTCAGGCTGAGGACGCCGCTGGCCGCCGCCTCCTCCAGCGCGCGCTCCAAGCCCCGGCTGGGGGGCAGCTTCACGCAGCCGACATGAGTCTGAAGAGAAGGACCAGAACCGAGCTGGGCCAGAGCAGCGCGAGCCGACTCCGGGCCCAACGTCGCCATAATGTTCTGCCTCCGCGTGCGTTATATCCAAAAGAGAGCGCGCGGGTAGCTGGCGTGCGTGCGGGGATCCAGTGGAGCACTGACCTCCCAGTCCCAGGCTTCCCCTGCCCTGATGCCGGCCCGTGCGTGAGAGTCCTGCTCAGTTGTTGCCGACGCTTCTTCCTCCCAGTCTGCGCGTGACGTCAGGTGTCAGAGATGCGCGTGTTGCGCTACGTCCGGTGCGGCAACTTCAAAAAACAAAACAATACAACACTTGTTGTTCTTGAGGTTTTACTGGAGGTGGCAAAAAACTTTCATGTTGCATTACCGTCACCTACTGGTATGGAGTGTGGCTCCAAATGTCTATTATTATTATTATTTTATTATTATTATTATTTTATTATTTTATTATTATTATTTTATTATTATTTTTTATTATTATTATTTTATTATTATTATTCTATACAATTGTTATATTCTGTTAATCAACAAACGAACCATTCTGTGTTCGTCTGTCTCTCCTTCCTGTCCTCTCAACCAGCCGGTCAAAGCAGATGGTCTCTTGTCCTGAGCTGGTTCTGCTGGAGGTTTCTTCCTGTTAAAGGGAGTTTTTCTTTCCACTGTCTCCACTGTGCTTGCTCAGGATGGGAGACTGCAACGAAGACAAGATTCAACTTGTCTGCTGGATTCCTTAGATAGAGAACTTTACTAATTGGCTTTTATGTGAATGTTCCTGTAAAGTCCCTGAGACAACTTTGTTGTGATTTGGCGCTTTATAAATAAACTGGATTCAATTGAATTGAACTTTGTTTTCCAGAAAAATCTAATTAAAATCTGAGTACTTGTACTTTGTACTATCTGAATTGCCCTGTAGTATATTTATTAAATTAAACATTTCTTTATTTTTTTCCGGGCAGCACGGTGGTGCAACTGGTACAGCTGCTGCCTCTCAGCGAGCAGGTTCCTGACTCAAACCCCGGTCCGGGGGCCCCCCTGGATGGAGTTTGCATGTTCTCTCCGTGCATACGTGGGTTTTCTCCGGGTACTCTTGTTTCCTCCCACAGACAAAAACCTGCATGTTAGACTGATTGGTAACTCTAAATTGTTCCTAGGTGTGAGTGAGAGAGTGAATGGTTGTTTGTCTCTATGTGTCCCTGTGATGGACTGAAGACCTGTCCAGGTGTCCCCCGCCCCTCACACAGTGATTGATGGACATGGGTACCAGCGACCTGCGTGACCCAAAATGGAAGAAGCGGGTAAAAGATGATGGATGGATTTATTTTTTCCTAAATTCCTCCAACATTAATCTCCTTTTCATCACATATCTTCTACATATTAAAATAATATGTTGTATTGTCTCATTTTCTCCACAGTTTTGACAGTCTCCTGTATTGTGTTGCTGTATTCTGTATAGTGAACTGTTAAGTCCAGTGTGTCCAAATCTTAATCTTGTTAATAGTTTCTCCTCTCTTCTATTTTTTCTTCCTACTCTCATTTTTCCTACTTTTTTTAAAATCATATAATAACACCTTCCTTTGTTATCTTCAGCCCATTCTTTCTGCCACCTTTCTCTCAATTTTTGTTTAATTATACTTTTTGCTTCTGATTTGCTTGTACTCACTGTAAAATTGACTCGTCCTGTTGTTGCCTTGTTTGCTTCCCTATCTTCTATTCCGTTACCCTTAATGCCAATGTGAGCTGGAACACAAATAAATATAACTGTTAATCCCATCATCTGTATCCTGAATAATGTTTGCTGTGTTTCTGTTCAACTGTCTGGTGTACTGTCTGAGTGGTTGTGTTTTAGACTGGTTAATGTAGAATCTGAGCAAATGATTGTTTTTAAAGGTCTCATTTCTTCTATCCATTGTATTACTAATAACAATGCTAATATTTCTCCTGTGTATACTGATAACCCATTTGTAACTCGTTTTTCTTGTCTTATCTGAAATTCTGGTATAACAAAGTCTATTCCTATTTCTCCAGTTGATTTTTTTAATGCATCTATAAAAATCTGGATGTGATTATAGTAGCTGTTTATATATATATCTGTACTGTGTTTGAATTTGAAAATATAAATGGTAAATGGACTGTACTTATATAGCGCCTTTCTATCTGATCAAGATACTCAAAGCGCTTTACACAGCCGTGCCTCATTTACCCATTCATACAGCTCTATACTAGATCTCTACAAAGCTCATTGAACAGATCATTCTAAAGAGACTAATCAGAGCTTTATCACAGTCATGCACTGATGGGACACACATCAGAGGCTATGAGGGGTTCAGTGTCTTGCCCAGGGACACTTCAGCATGTGACTGCTGGTGGATTCGAACCCCCAACTCTTGCATTGGAGGACGACTGCTCTAACCACTCAGCCACAGCCGTCTATGGTAGGATCCATGGTGGTACTGCTGGCAAAGGCACCTCTGGACTAATTCTTAAGTTGGTTATTTGTAATTCTTCTGCCTTTCTATTAATTACCCATCCAAAACTCCTTGTCGCCTTTTTCTCTTTTTAAAGTTTCTATTGTCGGATGGTTTGACTTATTTCCTTGTAAACTGGTCCAGTAGCTCATTGCTAACTGTACTCTCCGTAATTCTAATGATGTTTCTCCCATCTCAACTTTAATTGCAGGGGTGGTTTTGAATGCTCCAGTACAAATCCTTAGCGCTTGATGTTGAATACTGTCCAGTTTTTCCAGATGTGTCTTCGCTGCTGACCCATAAACAATACTTCCATAATCTATATTTGATCTGATCAAACCTATGTAAATTGTTTTTAAAGCCCCTCTTTCTGCCCCCATTCACTTCCCGCTAAACATCTCATAATGTTTAGAACTTGTTTACATTTATCAATAATTTTCTGTATGTGTATCTTCCATGCTATTTTCTCATCAAACCATATTCCTAAGAACTTTTTACATTTTACTCGTTCTAATTCTTGATTATATAATTTAATTTTAACATCCTTTATCTGTTTTTTCTGCGTAAACATCATCACCTTTGTTTTATTTTTCCACAGAGAATTTAAACCCCCATTGAAATGCCCATTTCTCTATTTTAACAATAGCATCCTGATTTTTTTTTTTTTTTTTTTGCAGTAAAGTCTACATTACGTCACCTCTTCCAAATGGCTCCATCATCCGCAAAAAGCAAACAGCCCATTCCCTTTTCAATTTCTGCAAAAACATCATTATCATAGAAAACAGTACTGGGCTTATAATGCTGCCCTGCGGTGTTCCATTTTCAACTGTATATTTTTTAGAAAGATGTTGACCTATTCTAACTTGTAAATTTCTATTTGATAAGAAGTCCTTAATCCAATTAAACTTTTTGCCATTAATACCCAATTTATGTATTTTAATTAATAATCCTTCTACCCACAACATGTCATAGGCTTTTTCTATGTCATAAAATACTGCCATAACCATTTCTTTATTTACCTGTGCTCTCCTAATTTCATATTCCAAACATATTGTTGAATCATATGTATTACTGCCTTTTCTAAATTCGCTTTGATATTTAGAAATATATCTTTTCATATTTAAATTATATGTTAATGGGTCATTAATCCATCCATCCATCCATTTTCTTTACCCGCTTATTCCATTCTGGGTCACGGGGGTCGCTGGTGCCCATGTCCAGCAAACACTGTGCGAGGGGCGGGGTACACCCTGGACGGGTCGCAAGTCCATCACAGGGCCGGGTCATTAATCATTTTTTCCATTATCATCATCATCATCATTCCATCATTGGTGCTGCTGGACCTTACAGCTGCGTTTGACACAGTGGACCACGCTATCCTGTTGTCTCGTCTCCAACATTATGTTGGAATTTCTGGTACAGCTCTCAAGTGGTTCACTGCTTATTTGACCAACAGAACGTTCTCTGTCATGCTGAATAATCTGTCTTCCTCCTCTGCCCCTCTCTCTTGTGGTGTGCCACAGGGTTCTATTCTTGGTCCTGTCCTCTTCACATTGTACATGCTGCCCCTTGGATCAGTGATAGCCAAACATAATTTTTCTTTTCACTGCTATGCTGATGATGTACAAATTTATTTACCAATGAAACCTAAAAACAGTAACCTTCTCACACCTTTCATTGATTGTATTGCCGACATTAAACAGTGGCTTCATCTTAATTTTTTGTTTTTAAACGAAGGAAAGACAGAATGCATTTTCTTTGGTGATGATGCTCCCTGTAACTTTGGTGCTCTGACATCCAAGTTCAGATCCACAGTTAAAAACTTGGGAGTGACATTTGATAAGGACTTAAAGTTTGACAAACAAATATCCTCTGTAGTCAAGGCCTGTTTTTATCAGTTACGTCTTTTATCCAAAGTTAAACCTTTTTTAAATCGTTCTGACTTGGAAAAGGCCATCCATGCTTTTATAACTTCAAGGCTCGACTACTGCGATTCCCTATATGCAGGAATCTCCCAATCCTCCATTAGACGCATGCAATTGGTCCAAAATGCTGCAGCTCGACTTTTAACCAACACCTCCAGACGTGAGCACATCACCCCTGTTTTATTTTCTCTCCACTGGCTTCCAGTTGATTTTAGAATTAAATTTAAAATTTTATTATTCACTTTTAAAGCTCTTAATGGTCTTGCCCCACTATATTTGTCTAATCTTGTAGCTGTCCGTGAATATAGGGGAACACTGAGATCATCTAATACATTTCTACTCTCTGTCCCAAAGTCCAACTACAAACGATGGGGTGACCGGGCCTTTTCGGTTGTCGCACCCAGACTCTGGAACCAGCTACCTCAGGACTTGCGCACCATCACTGACATGGAGCATTTTAAATCTAATCTTAAAACCTTTTTATTCAGGCAGGCTTTTAATACCTTGTAGGTCTTTGACAATTTTGCTATGTTTTAATTGTTTTTGTTTTTAACTGACTGATTTTTTTATTATTCTTGTTTGTTTTTAACTTCTGTACTGTGTAGCACTTTGTGCACCTTTTGGCTGCTGGAAAGGGCTCTATAAATAAAGTTTGATTGATTGATTGATTGATTATTTTACATATATTTTTGAAGTTAATGCAATGGGTCTATAATTTCCTGGTTTCGTTCTGTCCTTACCTGGTTTAGCTACTGGAACAAGAACTGATTCCTTC